TCATTTAATATGATCTATTAACTATGTCTAGTGCAACATATACAATATGAAATTAATGTTTTTTTTTTTTCGTAGTCGTTTGTTTGTTTGTTTTTTCCATACTTCCTAAGTGTTGCTGCTGATTGTTAAAAAAAAATGTGTTAAAAAGCTGACCTAGCTTGTCTTGTTCCGTTTCTTTTGGAAGGCCCATGGCTTGAAAAACCCAATTTCCCTTTTTTTAAATAAAGGAATTTAATGTAGTACAAAAACTACATATTGTTCAATTGAGAATCCAAACAAGATATGGAAACTAAGGCTGTTTTAATTCAAACAGCACACACACACGCATATATACGTGTGTGTGTGTGTGTGTGTGTGTGTGTGTGTGCTGTTTGGATTAAAATTCCAAAAAAGTCGGGACGCTGTGTAAAATATAAATTAATGTAAATGAAAACTGCATACAATGTTTTGTAAATCTCATAGACCCATATTTTATTCACAATGGAACATAGAACATATCAGATGTTGAAAGTGAGACATTTTACCATTTCATTAAAAATATTAACTCATTTAGAACTTGATGGCAGAAACACATCTCAAAAAAGTTGGGACAGGTGCAACAATAGGCTGGAAAAGTAATTGGTACTGATAAAAAACAGCTGGAGGAGCAATTTAGAACTAACTCACATGACTACAGCTTTATGAGACCAAGGAATTTTTCAGGAATGGGTAAAGAGACTATTTTACTGGCAGGTAACGTCTTTGGGATTTTACACTGAGACCATGTTGAGCATGAAGCAACGAAGGAATGTATGTCCCTGTGCATTGATTCCCACCAGTATCGATGGGAAAGAAGCTGATGCGTTCATGTTTCCCCAAGGTGGCCAGAAGTGAGTGATGAGTGAGCCCAAGTGATGAGTTGAGTATGAAACTGATCTGGTACATAAGTCTCTTCTTGGGATCACTGATTAGGCACTGCGATATTGGCTAATGCCTTTTCAATAACCTCATCAATCTCCCAACGAATAGATGAGATAGAGACCTCAGGGTGGAGAATACGTTCAGATGCTGTGGTAACTTATGCGAGTAAAATGCCACAGGATGGAGTTTTAGAGGGAAACCTGTGCGTTGTGATAATACAGCTCCTACACCGGTCTCAGATGCATCTACCTCTACTACAAAAGGTTCTGATGGGTCAGGGTGTTTTAGTATTGAGGCTGTGGTGAAGGCTTTTTTTCAAGGCTTGAAAGGCGTTTTTTTCAGCCTGCACTGTACAATTTAGCCTCTAAGGACCGCCTTTTAATAGAGAAGTTAGGGGAGCTGCAATACAAAAGCTGCTGATAACTGATGATGGAGGTGAAACTCACATTTTTCACCCTTGATGAATAAATTATGTTCCAGAAGACATTGCAGGACACTGCAAACATGCTTTACATGGGGCTCTTTATCTGGGGAGAAAACAAGAATGTTGTCTAGGTAGGCTGTGACAAATTTTCCTAGCATGTCTCTGAGTACCTCATTAATGAAGGCCTGAAAAACAGAGGGGGCGATAAAGAGGCCGAAAGGCATAACCAAGTATTCATGGTGCCCTCTAGTGGTCACAAAAGCAGTATTCCATTCATCTCCTTCTTTGATTCTGAACAAGTTATAAGCACTCCAGAGGTCTAGTTTAGTGAAAAACTGAGCTCCTTTCAACTGTTCTAAGGCCACTGGCACTAGGGGAAGAGGATAAGGGTATGGCTTGGTAATGTAATTAAGGGCTCTGTAATCAATTCATGGGTGTAAGCCACCATCTTTTTTCTTTATGAAGAAAAAAATGGAAGCTATGGGGGAAGTTGAGGGTCTAATAAATCCCTGTTCAAATGCCTCTTGAATGTATGTGTTTAGGGCCTTTTTTTCCTCTTGGGTTAAAGGATATACTTGTGACTTGGGCAACACAGGATTTTCTACAAAATCTATAGCACAATCATAGAGTCGATGTGGGGGCAACTTAGTGGTATTACTCTTGCTAAAAACCTCTTTAAGGTCTGAGTATTCAGAGGAAATGTGAATGGTGCTATCAGCGTTAGGACTCTCAATGGAAGTGGACAGGACAGAAATTAAGGGGGGAGTAATGCAAGTCATAATGCAAAAGTCAGACCATTTCAATATTTCATGTTTGAGGTTATGCTTCTCAAGCCAGGGGAGCCCTAAAATCAAGTCGATTTCAGAATGTTCAAGAACTAAGAAGGGCAGAAGTTCTTTGTGGAGAGCGCTGGTTTCCAGATGAACAGGTTCAGTCATCTTAGAGATGGTTCCAGCGCCTACAGGTCCTCCGTCCAGGGCAGCTACCCTTAACGATGTCTTCAGGGTTTCCACTGAAACCTGTAGTTGTTCCACCAGACTCGAATGAATAAAGTTTCCTTTGGCACCAGAATCTATGAGAGCTGAAACGACAATAGAATTGGTGGGTCGGCGTCTTCTGTTTTTGTGGTCTAGCTTGGCATTCATAAAGGTGATGACCAGCATTACCACAGTACAGACACAGGTTGTTCCTCAGACGACAAAGTCTCTCTTCTTGAGATAAGCGGGAATGACTCACACTGCATGAGTTCCTCTGATTCTTTCTGTTCCACAGTTGCTTGGGGTATTCTTACTCTGGTCTTTCTTCTGGCAGTAGGTTCAATCTTAGGTTTGTTGTGGTTGTTGAGTAGATTATCCAATCAGATAGAAAGGGTGATGAGTTGATCCAGAGTCAAATTATCATCTCTACAAGCTAGTTCGTTCAAAATCTTAGTATTAAGTCCTTGACGGAACATGACTAAAAGAGCAGCTTCATTCCACCCACTACTACCAGCTAGTGTACAGAACAAGGGAATAGTCGACTACAGAGCGATTACCCTGGCGAATGTTTCAAAAATAACTCCCTACTGATCTTGCCTTCATAAGGATGATCGAAAACAGTTTTAAATTCTTTGATAAACTGGGTGTAAGAAAGGTCATGTATGTGAGACCAGCTGGCTGTAGCCCATTCTAAGGCTCTGTCTGCCAAACAAGAAACAATGAAGGCTATCTTAGCTTGATCAGAGCTTACTGGGGAGTTCTCAAAAAATACGGAGCATTGGAGTAAAAACCCATGACAGCGTATGGAGCTTTAGCTTGAGTGGATGGGCTGGCGGCGCTACCTCCTGTTACTGCAATGCTCATATTCTGTAGCTGGTTAAAGAGCCTTTTCACTTTCGTTACTAGTTGTACTAGTTGAGCTTGCTGTTCAGACTGCTGGTGGGCTAGTGACTCAAGCGAGTGTGTGAATTAAGCTGGTTTGTGGAAAGAGCCCACTCTTATTTTCTGTTATGACTGACCATAGACTGGGTCAAAACAGCATGAAAAACACATTCTCTTTTTGACATTATTTGAAAATACCCATTCTTCTTTACATAGTATGTATATTTCACGAGGAATGGACCAACAGAAATGGTCCAGAATTACTTAGGAAAAAAGCCTGGTTCCATTGACCTACAGTGTGTTATTTCCTTCTCCTGTAAAGTTATCATTTTGGAGATACAAGGTTTTGGTTCGACAACAGCAATATGCTAAAGATCTTGGAATTAGCTGCAAAGCTAATAAATAGATAAGCATTACTTGTGCTGCCTTCTAAACATTTTAGAGTGTGTCTTTATGAATGCATTTATTGCTTTCTTTATTTACATTTATTGGCTTTACCTCAATACACCCAATTCTGATTTTGATTGCTGAATTCAAAATATGAATTGAAATAAATCACTTTTTGAGACGGGATACATGCGCAAGGAAAAATGTCTTTAATACAGCCAAAGGCAAATACACATCCAACAACACAACCCAAACAATAGTCAAAAATGTTCAAGAAGTCAATAATATACGCAAACAGGCTATCAAAGACAAAAACATAGACAGGTGTAGAACATGAACAGTAGGCCGGCGAGGCAGAGCACTGGAGCTTGGGGGAAAGGCATTGGTGGGGGTGTGACAATGACTGTGACATTTAACAACTGTGGAACATTGTTGAAGTCAGCTTAAAGCAGCACTATGTAAGATTTCTTGCTAAAACTTAAAGAAATAGCATACCTGAGAATGAAGAACACTAAAATATGGTGAGCATGCATTGCTGTGAGTTGCCCTGTAAAGCCTAAACTAATCATTTAAAAGTCAGAGCACAAACAAGCTCAAAAAGAAAGTTTGATGATGTGTAGGTCTCAAATGCAAAATCAGCATTGTGCTCATAAAGACATGATGACAATATTAGATAATTCACTCAAATCCCTGGAAGACTCGTCCTTCACCACATTTTGACTGTGTTCTTTTCCAATACTATTTCAATCCACTCACAAAAAGGTGCTTGGGGGGGGGTCCAAAGCAAAATCCATGTTAGTAATTATTCTTCCACATGTTGCATGCAATTACATATTTCCATCACAGAAGTCTCCAAATCTCCAAATCAGCGTTGCTTTAAATAATTGCCATCATCTCAAATAATTGTGATCATCTAAAATAAGTGCAATAATTATGTAATAATTATGAAAGGCCTAGTTAGTGGTAGGACTCAGGCTATAGTAAACTGAATCTGATTGGTTAGTTGTTCAGGATTTAGTAGATCTTATTGGTTGCTGTTAGGGGTCAAATTGGTTTGGTGGTTGTTGTTGGGGTTTCAGTTTCTGGTAGACGGAATCTGATTGGCTGGTGGGGTTCAGTCTTTGGTAAACTAAATTGAATTAGTTGGTGTTGGGATGTAGACTCTGGTAGCCTGAATCTGATTGTTTGTCTTGCGGTTTAGACTCTGGTAGACTGAATCTGATTGGTTGCTTTTAGGATTTAGACCCTGGTAGCCTGCGTATTATTTGTTGGTGTTTTCTCTTGTTTTAAGTGTAAACCAAGCTGGATCATGTTCAGAATTCCCATTAGTCTGAAACAAGCAAAAAGGGTAAAATGAATGTGATAAATATATCAAATAAAATCATGGTTGTAATTCTTTGTACATTACATACATTACGGTTTGTACCCGCCTCTCTGGAAGATCTTGTCATTGTTTCTGAATCTGTTGGCAAACAAGCAGGGGAACAGAAAATAAATGTAGTGCTGTTTAAGTACATGGTCAATGACACGTTTTTCTTTTGGCTTTTTGGTTTGGCTTTACTGAACAGGTTTAAATGACCTTATTATGAACACATCTAGATGAATGTACAGTGTTCTCATGCACGTACCAAACTGATTAAAATAATTGAGACATGCATGTGCTTCATCCACAGTCTCAAGATTATGACTTCTATAATTTCTGCTAACCACCAGATGTCACTATGCTCTCCAAAGCTTTGAATTCTTTTCCAGCCCAATCAGGTAAAGGCCTGAAACGCTTCACAAGGTTTTGTCAGCCTCATTGTCATTAAAACAAGGTGTAGAATTACAAGATACAAATGAACAAGATTTTACAGTGAGTATGATCATATATTCCTTTTAAATACTCTCATGTGTCTAGTTAGGTGCAGATGCAAGACAGGAGATCACAATCTCTGTAGGCATGGCTGCAGATGTAATGAGTAAACTGTGTTTTAACTAGAATAATCATGCAATTTATTTTGCCAACCCAAAAAGAATTCACGCTGAGTGTGAGCAAAGGCAGGTGTGACATCATGTGTTTTACCTTTGCCTTTTATTTTGCATTAAATTGCTGTAATCAGAGCAGCAGTCATCAAGACCAAACCAGCACCGATAGCGGAGTACACAGCCAGACCTGAAACACACACACATGTAGAACCACAGATTAAAACATTGTCATAATGTTGGTGTGAATGTTTTTGTAGAGTGTAGTGGATCAGAGGGAGAATCACCTGTTGGAGATGCAGAAGATGTTGATGGACCCAGATGACGTGGCCATATGGGTTGCCCAGCTTGGGTTCCTGCACATAAAAGTAAGTCAACAAATTTATTTTCACTAGTCTCATGAGGCCGGACATGATCTCATCTGGTAAAACATTTGATTGTGGATGGCAGCAAAATTGGCCGAATACAGTTTACAATCCCACTAAAACCTGACCCCAAATTCTTCTCCCTGACATCTCCAACACCATTTCCACATGATTCAGCACTGTCCCCACATTTCCCAGCACCTACATCACCCCACCACTCCTCAACCTTATTCCCTCTACTAGTCCCCATACATTGAAACATGTAAAATTTGTACACACTCATGTTACATTAACTGATTAGCTAGTTTAAAACAGTACTGACTAAGTATAATCTCATTATATCTCTTTCACAAGTTTTCACTCTCACTGCGGTTTAGGTTTGTCAAATTACCCCATATTACCATCTATATACCCATATACGACTCATCTTTGAGCAAACATAAATTCATTCTGCTGTCGAGTTCAGCTTATGGTTGAGGTTTACTAGACAGACAAATGTAAACTTGACCTTTTTAAAGTTGCTTTTGGCTTTTGAAATGAGGAGAAAACAATGTTCAGTCTGCATTCAGTTGTAACACGTCCCACAGGTGGCCCATCTAACCACACTTGAAGCTTAACATTCAAAATGTTGGCAAAAGAACTAAAACGTCATAGTAATTCCTATTTCTATTCCCATTTCCATGCAGCTCTCTAGTCCAGAGTACAATTACAAGGACAAAGCCTGTTTCACACATACACAACATCTTGCTTTCTGGATTTTGGTGCCCATGTTAACAAGTCAGAGCTTTCACATAGGTTGCACGCGGTGCGTCCCAGAGGCAGTATTTGAATATGATTGAATTAGAACAGATGAGGAACTTATTTTTCTGCATGTTGCACAAACTGCTAAGCAAAACACCTTTAAAAAGCTGCGAAAACAGAAAAATGTATGAAAGCTTAACAAAACACAAATTCTTTAATTCCCATATGAAGCAGAAGTTAAACATTTTGTACTACATATAGATTTCTTGGTAGGTCTACTGAACTTGAAACAATCAGCCAGTTGCAATAAAAAAGAGTGAACACATGTATTGTGTTCTTTTATGAATTATACAACCCCATTTCCAAGAAAGTTGGGATGCTGTCCAGAATGTAAATAAAAATAGAATAGAACATATCAAATGTTGAAACAGAGAAAGTTGGGCGCATTTTGAATTTGATGCCAACAACAACGTTCCAAAAAAGTCACCCATACCATGCACACTAATGCACCCCTATACTATCATAAATAATGATAACACTAATAACAAGCTGGTGGTCTTTAGCCTGGAGGACACAGTGTCCATGATTTCCAAAAAGAAATTCAAATGTGGATTTATCAGACCACAGGACACTTTTCCCCTTCCCCTCAGTTCATTTTATATGAGCTCAGGCCCAGAAAAGATGGCAGCATTTCTAGGTCATATTTATATACAGTTTCTTCTTTGTGTTTTAGAGTTTTATCTTGCATTTGTGGATGCAGCCACAAACTGCTTTCACAAACAGTGGTTTTCAGAGGTGTTTCTGAGCCCATGCAGTGATTTCCTCTACAGAATCATGTCTGTTTTTAATGCAGTGCTGCCTGAGGGCCCAAAGGTCATGGCTAGCAAATACTGGTTTTTGGCCTTGTCTCTTACATACAGAGATTTCTCCAGATTCTCTTTTAATGATATTATATACTGTAGATGATGAAAAGCAAAATTCTTTGATATTTTACGTTGAGAAACATTATTCTTGAGTTGTTGCTCTATTTGATCGTGCAGTCTTTCACAGAGTGGTGAACCTCTCCTCATCTTTACTTCTCTGAGATGCTCTTTTTCAGCCTCTCTGAGATGCTCTTTTATACCCAATCATGTTACTGACCTGTTGCCAATTAACCACCAGGTGTTTTTTTAGCATTACACAACTTTACCAGCCTTTTATTGCCCCCATCCAACTTTTTTGGAACGTGTTGTTGGCATCAAATTCAAAATGGGCAAATATTTTTCAAAAAACAAGAACATTTCCCAGTTTCAACATTTGATTTGTTGTCTTTGTACTATTTTCAATAAACTAATCAGTTTAAATGATTTGCACATCATTGCTTTTTGTTTTTTCTAATGTGTTCTCTGAACCTGTGAAATAATCTATGGGCTTTGTTGGAGCTTTCAGTGGGCCTTCCTAACTTACATCCTTGGGCTAATACTGACTTGTTGCCAATGTTGACAAGTGCAACATCTGCTTTGAGCTCTGCCTTCATGAGATGTTGGATTGGTTTATAACAAAGTCTGTGTTCCCCACATTGAGACCATGGCTGTCTCAACACACTCTTGCTTCTTCCATAAGGAAGAAGTACACAGATAATAGACACATGGTATCTCTGCTTCATAAATTACTTCAGTATTATTTCCTGAATAATATCTACAAGTGATTAAACATTTCTTTCTTTCTTTGTCCTTTCACTCTCGTTGTAGCTGATGCTAATGATGCTAAAAGTTTAGAATAATAAACAGGTGCAGTGGTGAGAGTCACTCACCTCCGTTTACATTCAACTCCACTGTTGTGTAGACGTCATAGTCAAAAAATATATCGATTCCACAGTAGTACGTTCCAGAGTCTTCCACAGTGAGCTCACTGATATTCACCATGAACACTGCAGCTCTGGTGTCATCAAACAGTGAGAATCTTCCTCTATTTATCCACTCATTTTTAACTCTTGTTCTGATCTGGTCAGCACAGTTTGACCATGAACCCTTACAGAAATATTTTGGGTTTGATGTGAAGTTTGTCTTATATGCGCAGTTGATAAGGACTCCTCCTCCTGAATATCCTGTCACTCTCTCTGATTCTCCTCCACCTACTAAAAGAGGACAAATGTCCATCTGAGTAAAGGCTTCATTTGACTCTGCTGATAGTGATGATTATTTAGAAGAGCATCTCCTTACCTGAAATCAGGAAGAGGGTGAAGATGAGGAGGATCTTCATTCTGAGCTCAGATATCAGAGCTCATTAATCGTGCACTCTGTCTCTGACTCTGTGTGACTGCACTGTAGCTGCAGCTGGGTGTTAACCATAAGTGAATGACATGTTCACTTCCTCTTGTTGACCTGAGCCAGAACAGGCCATAAATATCTTAGTAAGACAAGGTGTGAAACGTGTATAAGAATAGAAATGTAAGCTGTAGAATGAACAGTGGGCGAGACTAGTCATGCAGCATCTTACCAGCATGTATTTATTTGTTTAATTATCTACTTAGGTATTTATTATTTATTTGACCTCTTAAATTGTAGAAAACACTTGATATGCCACTTTATCTAATTCTAGTCTACTGTTCTGTTAGAGCTGTTTCTGTGATTGATCCAGTATTAGCTGTGTTGGTGAACGAGTAAATGGTGCGTTTAACACATGTTCATTGTATTGTTTGCCTCTACTACCATATAGACTGGATGAGCACAGACTGAGTAACAGAAGGAGATTTACAGTATGGCTGCACTCTGTGGTATTCTACATGTATAAATCTTCTAAGCCACTTCTCCCTCAGGGTCGCAGGGGTGCTGGAGCCTATCCCAGCTGTCATCGGGCGGAAGGCAGGAAACACCCTAGACAGGTCACCAGTCTACCGCAGGGCACCCTGTAAAACGAGAACTGAAAACATGACTACAGTCGCTTAAAAACAACGTTTTAAAAAGCTTTCAAAGAACTTTCTTGCAATAAACAAGATGCTTTCAATTGTGTCAAGGCAGCTTGATGTTTTTAAGCCTGTTGTGTAGTTGTACACCAGGGGTGTGAATATCAACCACCCAAAGGACCAATTATTAAAAAATCTCAAAAATCTCTGTTTGATTTTATTTTTACTTAACATTTTGCCATTGTTTGTTCAAAATACATCATAACTACACCAGCAAAAATAGACACCGAATACATGAACAATTAAAAAAAAAATAATAAAAATAGTTTTATATACAAAAATAGACTACATTAGCTGCTAAACTCTTAAACCTGTTTAAATGTCCCCAATGTAAAGTAGTTTTTTTGTAAAACTGGAGATTTGCTTGAACTAGACACCTCTGTTGCATCTGTTTAGTTTTGCTTTGTTATTGTAGTGCTGTCCCATAGATGGTTGTTGGGGAGGGGGTGGGAGCACACGTTATGTGGCAGTGCATGCTGGGAACTGTAGTGCAGTTCATGGTGAAATGGGTTAATATTTAAAGAAAATTAAAAACATTTTGCGGGCTGAATAAGATTGTGCCATGGGCCTGACTTCTAGTCTAGTCAAGTCAAGTCAGGCTTTATAGTCATTTCAGCTCTATACAAGTACACAGTGAAACGAACCAACTAAATAAGTAATAATTATAATAATAATAATAATTAATAACCAACCAACCAACAACAAACCACACCAACTCCAGGACCAACACAGGAACAGAAGTGCGAGACAATACAATAAACACAGTGCAGAAAATACAGTACAATAAAAAAAATATGAAAGACCTACAATGAATACAAAGCAGAACACAGCCAGTACACGGTCCGCAGTCCTTGTGTTTGACACATGGGTTGTATACTGTCTTGCTGCTGTTTTATCTGACGATAGGACAAAAATGTTAGAATACTTAGAATGACGACTGCACTGCTGTCAGCCATAGACTATAACTAGATGTGAAGCGTGTTTTGCAATTGCATCTATTATGTTTTCCTGCCCAATTTTTCACCTACAACTATATCTGTCCACATCACCGGTCTGTATCACACATTTTAACTTCACTGTTGTTTATGAATCTGAGTTACTGTGTATGCAAGTACTCCAAATGAGCTGTTAGTGAATGTATGACTCCACTTATATTCATGTTCATATCTTTGATTCTGTGCTGCTCTGTGTCAGAGGGGCTCTACTGCCATCTAGAGCACAATGTATGTAACAGAGAAAAAGCATTCAAAAACACTCTTTGCTTTATTCAATACAAATGCGACTGATTAGATATAGCTACAGAAACAGGGATCTTGGTGGATTGTGAAAGTTTCTGGAGCTGATCTTGGAGGAAAAGTCTTCACATATTCCACACTCTCAAGTGCTCAGCCGCAGCTCAGTGTACTGCACACACACACCACCCTGCCAATTTTATATTCTTCAAAGTATTATTCTCAATTTATAACACTGTATTGTCATCCTGTGAGAAAAGGATGCTTCCTCAAAAAATTAAGATTTCTACATGGTTCAAGGATTAAAAAGATTATTCTAGGAAAAGCCTTTAATAAGCTCAAAACCTTTGTATTTATGTGTGGAAGTTTAGAAAATATAATTCCTTCATTCTTACAAATTTCATGTAAAAATGATTTTATTACGAACTATCCATTGAAAGGTTCTTCTGTCATTGCACCAAAGAACCCTTGTTGGCACCTTTTTTTTAGACTACACTGCCATCTAGAAGATAAATATTATTTAGTTTTGGTGGTCACACAGATGGGAGGTGGACATTATTAGTGAGAGCTCTGCTAATTGATAAATAAAAAATGGTTTAATCTGGAAAGATCAATGCCTCCTAATTTACTATGTAAACTACACACAAAAGTAATCTTGTGTAAGAAGAGATTGAAAATTCAAAGCAATGTTAAAATATTTCCAATTCATTAATAATTTTGTGGTATTTCACAAAGCAGGATTTCTCAGCAAGCTGTGTAACTGAAACCAAAAGTTGAAGGTTGTGTAGTCGGAATATTTGGGATTTCTTCTCCTTTTGAACTGGCTTGTTTCTGGCCTAAGTTATCAGGCTAACCAAGAAGTCCTTCTTTGTGAAATACCTCCCTGGCTGGGTAGTTTAAACTCTGGTAGACTGAATCTGATTGGTTAGTTGTGGGTTCCAGTTTTGTTAGACTGGATCTGATTGGTTAGATGTGGCTCCAGACTCTGGTAGACTGAATCTTATTGGTTAGTATTGGGTTTAGACTCTGGTAGACTGAATCTGATTGGTAATTTGTGGATTTAGACTCTGGTAGTCTGAAGGTAGTAAGTTGTAAGGCCCAGACTGTGGTAGATTGAATCTGATTGGTTAGTGGTAGGGTTTTCATTAAATGTTTGCTGATGATTAAGTGTCAGATAAATAACTGCCACTGACAGTTTAACTGTCTTTTCTTTCTCATGCGATTATTAAAATAAGAGCCTAAAGTGGCCAAGTTGTTTGTAAAGTATGTTAACTTAGTAGCTAATGCTGGTTCTACTCACCTGAAATAATACATTACACTTCTGTGTTCACCACTCTATTAGACACTCCTACCTTGTTGCACCACCTTGTAGATGTGAAGTCAGAGACGATAGCTCATCTGCTGCTGCACAGTTTGTGTTGGTCATTCTCTAGTCCTTCATCAGTGGTCACAGGACGCTGCCCACAGGACGCTGTTGGCTGGATATTTTTGGTTCTCAGTTCAGCAGTGACCAGCACAACACACACTAACATATCACCACCATGTCATTGGTACTGCAGTGCTGAGAATGATCCACCATTTAAATAATACCTGCCCTGTGGGGGTCCTGTGGAGGTCCTGACCACTGAAGAACAGGGTGAAAGGGGGCTAACAAGGTAACAGCAATACTACTACTACTACAATAATTATAATAGTAATAATAATTTAATAACTATCTATGTCTAGTGCAACATTTACAATTTGAAATTATTGGTTTGGTTGGCTTTGGGTTGAGGCTGGACATGAGGAGAAACACTGAAAACATGAAATCAAGCATGAATTAAGTTTTTAAAAATTTATTTTTCAATATTAAATGTTTACAAGATTACTTGAAAGATAAATAGAATGTGAAATTGAGTTGAGTTTGTGTCTGCAGTCTGTTATTACTTTGTTTTGATGCATGTTCATTTACAACCAGTTGAGGGCAGCATCCGTCCATCACCATTAGTCCACTGAGGCTTAGTGAACTTTTTCTTCTCACTAATGTATGTGATTGATTCACTTATACTGCACTCACATCTGAACATTCGGGTCAAATGAGCTAATCATTTTAGCAAGAGTCCAACATCGCAGCAGTGGAACCGTCTTTGCTAAATGCTTTTATGAATTTATTACCCTTAATAAATGTGAGTGTGTATTTGAGTGTGTATGCATGTGTGCATGAGGTCTGTTCACACTAATGACAAACATGACCCACTTACAGCTGTGAATGTAAACCGTCAAGGCAGAAAGATCATGTCTGAGCTAAATGACCCCACGCTGTGCTCATATCCAAACATGCTGATCTGCTCTGTACTTCAGCTCATACTGAGCAGTATTGACAAAAAGTCAATATTAGTGTTTCCAAATGTATGACTTTAGCTACGTTCACATTACAAGCCTCATTGTTCAAATCTGATTTTTTGCTCAAATCTGATCTCTCTGATGTGATGGTTCACACTCGTTCAGGTAAGTGATTCAAATCTGTCACTAATGTGAACGAACCAGCATCCTGAAATGACCCGCATGAGCACATCCTACTCAGTAACGTCACGTGAATGAATCATGTTCATCTTTAGCACAAACTAACGAGCAGAGCGAGCTTCACTGAGAAGATAATTAACTCTGATCAGCTCTCAGCTTCATTATTAGAGTGAGACGAAGGAGAAAAAGGTGAGATGAGCTGCTTTTCCACCGTTTACAGGCTTTAACTTCTGTTCGGCGCTGCTGCCATGGTAACACTGAATGATGTTCATGCTCAGTGGAAAAAAAACACATGAATTCCGATCTGAGTGTCACATTAAGGTTGCATGGCCACAAATCGGATACGTATCCAATCTAGGACCACATATAAAAGTGACTCAGGTCAGATTTGAAAAGATCAGATTTGCGTGTCCACACAGCCCTGAAAACATCAGATCTGAATCACATTAGAGCAAAAAAAATAAATAAATAAAATATTGGTGCCACTTCAGCCTGGTAATGTGAATGTAACTTTAGTCAGATCATACTTAAGCTTGCATTAATAAAGTCAGTGAACCTATGCATCCTAAGTGCTGCTGCTGATTGTTAAAAAGCTGACCTAGCTTGTCTTGTTCTGTTTCCTTTTTTTGAAAGGCCCATGACTTGGAAAACTGAATTTCCCCTTTTTTTTAAAAGAAGAGTTTAATGTAGTACAAAAACTACATATTGTTCAATTGAGAGTCCAAACAAGATATGGAAACTAAGGCTGTTTTAATCCAAACAGCACAAACACACACACACTTGCATATATACATATGTGTGTGTGTGCGTTCTTTGGACTAAAATTCCAAAAAAGTTGGGATGCTGTGTAAAATGTAAATAAATGTAAATAAAAACAGAATGCAATTATTTGCAAATCTCATAGACCCATATTTTATTCACAGTAGAACTCATTTAGAACTTGATGGCAGGAATGCATCTCAAAAAAGTTTGGACAGGGGCAACAAAAGGCTGGAAAAGTAATCTTCAGGCCCTCAGGCTGCACTGCATTAAAAACAGGCATGACTCTGTACTGGAAAACACTGCATGGGCTCAGGAACACTTCCAGAAATCACAGTTCACCATGCAATCCACAAATGCAAGTTAAAGCTGTAGCATGCAAAGAAGAAGCCACATGTCAACATGAAAAGTTTAATTCAAATAACTTTGATTGAAAAAATCTTTTAAAAGCCTTTTTTCTACTATAAAATTACAATTTTGAAGATTTAAGGTTTTGTCTCGACAGTGACATTTTGAAGAAGGAAACATAAGATGTATAGTGTATATTACAGGCTTACCAAGAACTGTCCATTTTCTAATTGTTCAGAAAGAGGCTAAACATGTCAGTTCATAGCCACTCGAAACTAAAGACATATAAACTATATAAAACAAAGCTCTGGAGACTGAGAAAACAAGGGAACCTGGGAGAAAATCTAGAGCATAGTCAAGATCATGCATCTGCCCAAACAGGAGTTGGATGGTTGTATGCAAAAAATCCTTTGTTGATTTTCTGGTTGTTGTTGGGGTTTAGTCTCCAGTGGATGGAATCTGTTTGGTTGGTGTTGGGGTTCATACTCTGGTAGACTGAATCTGATTGGCTGGTGTTGGGGTTTAGGATTCGGTTCACTGAATCTGATTGGTTGGTGTTGGGGTTAAGTCTTTGGTAAACTTAATCAGATTCGTCTGTGTTGGGGTTTAGTCTCTTGTAGAATGAATCTGATTGGTTTGTGTTGGGGTTTAGACTCTGGTAGACTGAATCTGTTTGGCTGGTGTTGGGGTTTAGACTCTGGTAGACTGAATCTGATAGTTTGCCTTTGGGGTTTAGACTCTGGTAGACTGAATCTGATGGGTTGGGTTTGGGATTTAGACCCTGGTAGACTGCATATTGTTCATTGGTGTTTTCTTTTGTTTTAAGCGTAAACCAAGCTGGATCATGTTCAGAATTCCCATTAGTCTGAAACAAGCAAAAAGGGTAAAATGAATGTGATAAATATATCGAATAAAATCATAGTTGTTATGCTTTGTACATAACACATATTACGGTTTGTACCCACCTCTTTGGAAGATCTTGTTATTGTTTCTGAACCTGTTGGCAAACAAGCAGTGGAACAGAAAATGAATGTAGTGCTGTTTAAGTACATGGGCAGTGACACTTTTTTGCTTTGGCTTCACACTGCACAGGTTTGAATGACCTTATTATTAACACATATAAATTAATGTACAGTGTTCATATGCACAAATAATTGACACATGCATGTGCTTCATCCACAGTCTCAAGATTATGGCTTCTATAATGTCTGCTAACCACTAGATGTCACTATGCTGCCCCAAAGCTTTGAATTCTTTTCCAGCCCAATCAGGTTCAAGCCTGAAACATTTCACAAGGTTTTGTCAGCCTCACTGTCATTAAAACTAGGTGTAGAATTGCAGGATATAACTAAACACGACTTTGCAATGAGTATGATCATGTATGCCATTTAAATACTCTCATGTGTCTAGTTAGGTGCAGATGCAAGCCAGAGACTCATTATTGAGGGGATCACAATCTCTGTTGGCATGGCCGCAGATGTAATGAATAAACTGTGTATTAACTAGAATAATCATGCAATTTATTTTGTCAACCCGAAAATAATTCACGCTGAGTGTGAGCAAAGGCAGGTGTGACATTGTGTTTTACCTTTGCCTTTTATTTTGCAGTAAATTGCTGTAATCAGAGCAGCGGTTAACAAAAATAAACCAGCACCGATAGCGGAGTACACAGCCAGACCTGCACCACACACACATGAAGAACCACAGATCAAAATGTCTTCATAATGTTGGTAGAAATGTTGTTGTGGAGTTTAGTGGATCAGAGGGAGAATCACCTGCTGGAGATGCAGATGTTGATGGACCCAGATGACGTGGCCATGTGGGTGATTGCCTAGCTTGGACTCCTGCACATAAAGTCAAGAACTTTATTTTGACTAGTCTCATTGCCAGATGTGATCTTGTAATGAGAATGCACATCTGGGGCTAGTCCATTTGGTGGTGAATAGCAGCAAAATCGGCCAAATACAGTTTACAATCCCACAAAAACCTGCCCCCAAATTCCTCTAGGTCTTTTAACATCCAGAGAGCTGCATGAAGATGTAATTCTGTCCCTGACATCTATAACACCATTCCCACATGATTCACCTCATTCCCACATTATATACAATTATATACATGTGCCCACATCATCTCACCATTCAGATTTTCCCCTATTAGCATCTACACACCAAATAAAATGACTCATCTATAAACACACATAGGCTCATTCTGCTGTCTGTGTTCAGCTTATGGTTGAAGTTTACTACACAGACAAAGGTAAACTTGGCATTTGAAAGTTCCTTTTCGCTTTTGAAATGAGGAGAAAACAACATTTAGTCTACATTTAGCCATAAGGTGTCCCTCGGGCCCATCTAACCACAGTTAAAGCTTAACATTCTAAATATATGCAAATGAGAAGTGTTGGCAAAAAAGAGATAAAAATTGAAAGTATCCCTGTTGGGATAAAAATTTTGTTCCCATATTTTTATTCCCATTTCCATGCAGCTCTCTAGTCCAGAGTACATTTACAAGAACAAAGCCTGTTTCACACGTACACAACATTTTGTTTTCTGGATTTTGGTGCCCATGTTAACAAGTCAGAGCTTTCACATACGTTGCACATGTAGCACGGCAGTGCATTCCAGAGGCAGTATTTGAATATGATTGAATTAGAATAGATGAGGAACTAATTTTCCTGCATGTTGCACAAAACACTAAGAAGAATACACTCAAATTAGCTGTTAAAAACAGAAAAAATATATAAAACCTTAACAAAAACACAAATTCTTTAACTCCCAAATGAAGTAGAAGTTAAACATTTTGTACTACATATAGATTTCCTGGTAGGTCTACCGAGCTTGAAACAATCAGACAGTTGCAATCAAAAAGAGTGAAAACGTGTTGTGCTCTTTTATGAATTATACAACCCCATTTCCAAAAAAAGTTGGCACGCTGTCCAAAATGTAAATAAAAATAGAATGCAATGATATGCAAATCATTAAAAACCATATTTTTAAAGAAAAATACTACAGACCACATGTCAAATGTTGAAACTGAGAAATTTTATTGTTTTTTTTTTGTTTGTTTTTTTTTAAATATGTGGCCATTTTGAATTTTGTGCCAACAACATATTCCAAAAAAGTTGGAACGGGGTCATGTTTACCACAGTGTTTCATCACCTCTTCTTTTACCAACACTCTGTAAGCATTTGGGACCTGAGGAGACACTGCTATAGTTTTGAAAGTGAAATGTTTTCCCATTCTTGCTTGATACAGGATTTTAGCTGTTCAAAAGTTCAGGGTATCCTTTGTGGTATTTTTTTTATTTCATTATGTGCCAAATGTTATCAGTGGTGACAGGTCTGGACAGCAGGCAGGCCAGTTTACCACCTAGACTCTTTTACTGCAGAGCCATGCTGTTGCAATACGTGCAGAATGTGGTTTAATATTGTCTTGCTGAAATAAACAAGGCCTTCCCTGAAAAAGACATCATCTGGACAGCAGCAAATGTTGCCAAAACATGTACTTATCGTTCAACATTAATGGTGCCTTCACAGATGTGCAAGTCACCCATACCATGCACACTAATGCACCCCTATACCATCATTAATACTGGCTTTTGAACTGTCTGCTGATAATAAGCTGAGTGGCCTTTAGCCTGGAGGACACAGTATCCATGATTTACAAAAAGAATTTCAAATGTTGATTTGTCAGACCACAGGACGCTTCTCCACTTCCCCTCAGTCCATTTTAAATGAGCTTGGGCCCAGAGAAGGTGGCAGCATTTCTGAATCCTGCTTATATACGGTTTCTTCTTTGTGTTTGAGTTTTAACTTGCATTTCTGGATGCAGCGACGAATTGTTTTCACAGACAGTGGTTCTCAGAAGTGTTTCTGAGCCCATGCAGTGATTTCCACTGCAGGATCATGTCTGGTTTTAATGCAGTGCTGCCTGAGAGCCCAAAGATCATGGCCAGCAAATACTATTTTTTGGCCTTGTCCCTTACATACAGAGATTTCTCCAGATTCTCTGAATCTTTATGATATGTACTGCAGATAATGAAAAGCAAAAGTTCTTTGCTATTTTACATTGAGAAACATTATTCTTGAATTGTTGCACTATTTGCTCGTGCAGTCTTTCACAGAGTGGTAAACCCCTCCTCATCTTTACTTCTTAAAGTCTGAGATGCTCTTTTATACCCAATCATGTTACTGACCTGTTGCCAATTAACCACCAGGTGTTTTTTTTTAGCATTACACAACTTTACCAGCCTTTTGTTGCCCCTGTCCCAACTTTTTTGGAACGTGTTGTTGGCATCAAATTCAAAATGGGCATATATCTTTCAAAAAACAATAAAATTTCTCAGGTTCAACATTTGATATGTTGTCTTTGTACTATTTTCAATGAAATACAGGGTTTAAATGATTTGCACATCATTGCATTTGGTTCGTATTTATTTACAGCGTTGCAACTTTTTTGGAAATGGAGTTGTATTTTATTGAGTAGAGTAACTAATTCTGATATTTGTAAAAAGATTTCCGTAAAACTTGTTTCCAAAGAGGAAATGCTGCATGCTGCAGCATTGCTAACATTGTACAGTTAAAAAGCAAAACAAGCTAGCTAGCCAAATGTTTAGCAAATTAAACTGTTCATCCTCTGTAAGAGGCAGTACTTATTTTCATTTTTCTAATGTGTTCTCTGCACATGTGAAATCATCTATGGGCTTTGTTGGAGCTTTCAGTGGGCCTTTCAACCTTCCTGCCTTCATGAGTTGTTGGGTTGGTTTATTAAAAAGTCTGTGTTCCCCACATTGAGAGCATGGCTGTCTCTACACATTCTTGCCTCTTCCACAAGGAAGAAATACACAGATAACACCATGGCATCACACAGCATGAGTGAGTGCCATTTCAGAATAGATATTAAGTCCAGAATAATAAACAAGTGCAGTGGTGAGTTACTCACCTCCCTGTACATTCAACTCCACTGTTGTGTAGACGTCAAAGTCCAAAAATATATCAACTCCACAGTGGTACGTCCCAGAGTCCTCCACAGTGAGCTCACTTATATTCACCATGAACACTGCAGCGCTGGTGTCATCAAACAGTGAGAATCTTCCTCTATTTATCCACTTATTTTTAACTCCTGTCTTGATTTGGTCAGTACAGTTTGACCATGGACCCTTACAGAGATATTTTGGGTTTACTGTGAAGTTTGTCTTGTATGTGCAGTTGATGAGGACTCCTCCTCCTGAATATCCGGTCACTCTCTCTGATTCTCCTCCACCTACTAAAAGAGGACACATGTCCATCTGAGTAAAGGCTTCATTTGACTCTGCTGATAGTGATGATTATTTAGAGGAGCATCTCCTTACCTGAAATCAGGAAGAGGGTGAAGATGAGGAGGATCTTCATTCTGAATTCAGGCTTGCAGATCAAAACCAACTTACAAGAAATGTCTTGTATATCCGAGGTACTGAAACTTACACCCCACCTCCTTTTAACTGCATCTTAATCAGAAACTGTGCCATGCCCACTTCCCTTTCTGACCCTGAGGGTGAGCGGGCTGTGAACTTCTCGGAAAGAAGTTGTGAAATGTGAAATGTGAACAAAGTTTAATGGTACATAGAAAATGCTAATGTGAATAAACTGTGTGGGTGAATAATATTTACTTATTTGTTTATCTATTCATTGATTTTCTTTTTTATTTACAGCCTTTAACCAGTCACAGTGTGTATTGTAGAACATGGTTTCGGTGTGCCACTATTACTGTTACAATATTTTTGGTAACACTTTGTGGTCCTTTGGAGATGATTAATAAACTCTTAACAGATTATCAGTAACACATCAACAATATCAGTGACATAGCAGTGCAGCATCTGAATAGCATTACACAACTTTACCAGCCTTTTGTTGCCCCTGTCCAACTTTTTTGGAACGTGTTGTTGGCATCAAATTCAAAATGGGCATATATCTTTCAAAAAACAATAAAATTTCTCAGGTTCAACATTTGATATGTTGTCTTTGTACTATTTTCAATGAAATACAGGGTTTAAATGATTTGCACATCATTGCATTTGGTTCGTATTTATTTACAGCGTTGCAACTTTTTTGGAAATGGAGTTGTATTTTATTGAGTAGAGTAACTAATTCTGATATTTGTAAAAAGATTTCCGTAAAACTTGTTTCCAAAGAGGAAATGCTGCATGCTGCAGCATTGCTAACATTGTACAGTTAAAAAGCAAAACAAGCTAGCTAGCCAAATGTTTAGCAAATTAAACTGTTCATCCTCTGTAAGAGGCAGTACTTATTTTCATTTTTCTAATGTGTTCTCTGCACATGTGAAATCATCTATGGGCTTTGTTGGAGCTTTCAGTGGGCCTTTCAACCTTCCTGCCTTCATGAGTTGTTGGGTTGGTTTATTAAAAAGTCTGTGTTCCCCACATTGAGAGCATGGCTGTCTCTACACATTCTTGCCTCTTCCACAAGGAAGAAATACACAGATAACACCATGGCATCACACAGCATGAGTGAGTGCCATTTCAGAATAGATATTAAGTCCAGAATAATAAACAAGTGCAGTGGTGAGTTACTCACCTCCCTGTACATTCAACTCCACTGTTGTGTAGACGTCAAAGTCCAAAAATATATCAACTCCACAGTGGTACGTCCCAGAGTCCTCCACAGTGAGCTCACTTATATTCACCATGAACACTGCAGCGCTGGTGTCATCAAACAGTGAGAATCTTCCTCTATTTATCCACTTATTTTTAACTCCTGTCTTGATTTGGTCAGTACAGTTTGACCATGGACCCTTACAGAGATATTTTGGGTTTACTGTGAAGTTTGTCTTGTATGTGCAGTTGATGAGGACTCCTCCTCCTGAATATCCGGTCACTCTCTCTGATTCTCCTCCACCTACTAAAAGAGGACACATGTCCATCTGAGTAAAGGCTTCATTTGACTCTGCTGATAGTGATGATTATTTAGAGGAGCATCTCCTTACCTGAAATCAGGAAGAGGGTGAAGATGAGGAGGATCTTCATTCTGAATTCAGGCTTGCAGATCAAAACCAACTTACAAGAAATGTCTTGTATATCCGAGGTACTGAAACTTACACCCCACCTCCTTTTAACTGCATCTTAATCAGAAACTGTGCCATGCCCACTTCCCTTTCTGACCCTGAGGGTGAGCGGGCTGTGAACTTCTCGGAAAGAAGTTGTGAAATGTGAAATGTGAACAAAGTTTAATGGTACATAGAAAATGCTAATGTGAATAAACTGTGTGGGTGAATAATATTTACTTATTTGTTTATCTATTCATTGATTTTCTTTTTTATTTACAGCCTTTAACCAGTCACAGTGTGTATTGTAGAACATGGTTTCGGTGTGCCACTATTACTGTTACAATATTTTTGGTAACACTTTGTGGTCCTTTGGAGATGATTAATAAACTCTTAACAGATTATCAGTAACACATCAACAATATCAGTGACATAGCAGTGCAGCATCTGAATACACTGAAGTAAATATCTTGATGTTCTGTTAATACATTACTTACATTAAGTAGATGTATTGTAAATATGTTACTTCCACTACGCAAAACCTAACCTTACCAACCTTACCCAACACCTAACCCTCACCCTAACCTTAATCTCAAGACAAAACCTAATCCTAACCCTAACCTTAACCTCAAGCCAAAACCTAATCCTAACCCACATCCTGGCCCTAAACCTAACCTGAACCCAAAACCTAATACTAACCCTAACCTCAACCTAAAACCTAATCCTAACCCACATCTTGGCCCTAACCCTAACCTCAACCCAAAACCTAATCCTAATCCACATCCTGGCCCTAACCCTAACTTAACCTGAACCCAAAACCTAATCCTAACCCTAACCTGAACCCTGGCCCTAATCCTAATCCTAACCTTATCCTCAAGCCAAAACCTAATCCTAACGCTCATATGTTTTTTACATGTTACAGAGAGTCTGTTGAGTGTCCATTTAATTTAAAAAAGACCACACAAAATAAAGTGTTACTTTTTGGTATTACTATTTTATTTACTTTACTTGCAAGCACTGTATTTATAGCTCTATTAGAGACTGGCATGTACACTATATTGCCAAAAGTATTCACTCACCCATCCCAATTATTGAATTCAGGTTCCAATCACTTCCATGGCCACAGGTGTATAAAACCAAGCACCTAGGCATGCAGACTGCTTCTACAAACATTTGTGAAAGAATGGGTCGCTCTCAGGAGCTCAGTGAACTCCAGCGTGGTACCGTGATAGGATGCCACCTGTGCAACAAGTCCAGTCGTGAAATTTCCTCACTACTAAATATTCCACAGTCAACTGTCAGTGGTATTATAACAAAGTGGAAGCGATTGGGAACGACAGCAACTCAGCCACGAAGTGGTCGGCCACGTAAAATGACAGAGTGGGGTCAGCGGATGCTGAGGCGCATAGTGCGCAGAGGTCGCCAACTTTCTGCAGAGTCAATCGCTACAGACCTCCAAACTTCATGTGGCCTTCAGATTAGCTCAAGAACAGCATAGAGAGCTTCATGGAATGGGTTTCCATGGCCAAGTAGCTGCATCCAAGCCTTACATCACCAAGCACAATGCAAAGCGTCAAATGCAGTGGTGTAAAGTGCCGCCACTGGACTCTAGAGCAGTGGAGATGTGTTCTCTGAAGTGACGAATCACGCTTCTCCGTCTGGCAATTTGATGGACGAGTCTGGGTTTGGTGGTTGCCAAGAGAACAGTACTTGTCAGACTGCATTGTGTAAAGTTTGGTGGAGGGGGGATTATGGTGTGGGGTTGTTTTTCAGGAGTTGGGCTCGGCCCCTTAGTTCCAGTAAAAGGAACTCTTAATGCTTCAGCAGGCCAAGAGATTTTGCACAATTTTCGTGCTCCCAAATTTGTGGGAACAGTTTGGGGAGTTTGGCCCCTTCCTGTTCCAACATGACTGCGCACCAGTGCACAAAGCAAGGTCCATAAAGACATGGATGAGCGAGTTTGGTGTGGAAGAACTTGACTGGCCTTGACTAGTCCTGACCTCAACCCGATAGAACACCTTTGGATGAATTAGAGCGGAGACTGCAAGCCAGGCCTTCTCGTCCAACATCAGTGTCTGACCTCACAAATGTGCTTCTGGAAGAATGGTCAAAAATTCCCATAAACACACTCATAAACCTTGTGGAAAGCCTTCCCAGAAGAGTCGAAGCTGTTATAGCAGCAAAGAGTGGGCCGACATCATATTAAACCCTATGGATTAAGAATGGGATGTCACTGAAGTTCATACGCGTGTGAAGGCAGATGAGCGAATACTTTTGGCAATATAGTGTATGTACGTGTTCATGCAGCAAGGAATATTGCAGGTGATGTATTTTATTTACTGATTATATATATATATATATATACACACACACACATACACACACACATACACACACACACACACACGTGTATATATATATACACACACACACACACATATATATATATATATACACACACATATTTTATATCCATTATATATATGTATAGTGGATATAAAGTATTCAGACTCCTTAACTTTTTGCACATTTTGTCTTGTGATTTTAATTTTGATAAAGTAAAAGTAAAGCTTCAGTTTCTAAAAATTAAAAAGAAATCAAAAGTACTCAGACCCTTTGCTGTGCCACTCAATTTTCATCAGATGGATACCCTTTGCTTGAATTATCCTTGAGAGGTGTCTAGAACTCATTTGGAGCCCACTTGTTGCAATTTGAATTGATCAGACTCGGTTTGGAAAGGGACACAGTGGGGTCTATAAGTTTACATTGCATTGTCAGGACAAAAACCAAGCCATGAAGTGCAAGTAACTGTCTGTGGATCTCCGCAATCAAATGGTGGCAAGGCATAGATCACAGCAAGACACTTTGCATGTTTCGAGGACCACACTGGCCTCAGTAATTTTGAAATAAAGGAAGCATGTCACAACCTTCCTAGTTGGCCCTTCAGCCAAACTGGGCACCCAGGCAAGAAGGGCCTTGGTCAAGAATTTAAGATAGAACCAAGTGGTCACTCTAAAACAACTCCTAAAGTCTTGCATATAGATGGGATAACCTGTTGTATGGACAACCACCTCTGCAGCACTCTATACATCAGGCCTTTGTGGCAGTGTGGCAAGACGGAAGCCACTGTTGAGTAAAAGGAGTTTGTTAAACAGCATTTAAGGGCTCTGGCAACATGAGGAAAAAGATTCTCTGGTCTGATGTGATGGAAATAGAACTTGTTGGGCAGAACAGCAAGCACTACATTAAAATCATGCCTACAGTGAAACATGGTGGTGGCAGCATCATGCTATGGGGATGCTTCTCAGTGGTAGGACCAAGGAGACTCATAAAAATTGAAGCATGGATGAATACAGGAACGTCCTTGAAGAAAACCTCCTCCAAAGTGCATGCAAACTCAGACTGGGGTGACAGTTTATCTTTCAACAGGATAGTGACCCAAAGCATATAGCCAAAACAACACTGGAGTGGCTTTGAGGGAAGTCTCTGAATGTCCTTGCCAAAAGACTGGACTTAAACCCCATCAAACATATGAGGAGAGACCTGAAGACGGCAGTCCATGGATGCTCGCGTCCAATCTGATCGAACTTGAGAGGATCTACCATGAAGAACTGCACAAATCCAGATGTGCACAGCTTGTATAGATGTTTCCAGGAAACTTTATCTGCTGCCAAAAGCACTTTCTATGAAGTATTGATTAAAGGGTATACTGAATACTTTTGTAAATACATTCGGACCCCTTGACTTTTTGCTCACTTTGTGTTGTGGATTTGATTCTGAATGGATATAATTGACATTTTTACCTACGAATCTACACTTAATCACTCGTAATGGCAGTGAGGTTTGTATTTTTTTGAAAAAAAAATTTAAATAGAAATTATGCACTAAAATGAGGATGTGTTAATTAACTTATGTTCACTTAGAAAATCAACAGACTGCAAAACACAGAAGTATGTGCCAACATTTTAATGGCTGTACCAAACTAAGCAAAGAGTTTGTATATAGTTGTGAAATTAGCCGTTGCTTGCTGCATGAGAGAAGCATCAACTTAGTTCATGTAAATCACCTACCATATTAATCAATACAAATTAAGAAAATACCATATTTCCAGAATAACATATTCTTTGCCTAAAAGGAAACATTATACAGTCTGTTCTTAATAGAAAATGATGAGAATAAAAGTGTAGCATGCTAATCTAGCCACTTCCACTAACGCTTGACTGTAGCATAGTTGCATGAGTCATTCTCCTTGTTGATGGTTGCCGTGGTAACAGCATCAGTAGAACTATTTGCTTTCTTGCTGAAATTCACTGTTGTATATGTTGGACCTTCAGCAGATTTTCCAGCTGAAGGCTGAGTGACATTAACTGAGGAATCACAGAGAATTGTGGGTAACTCAGCTGTGGAGTAGATGTCTGGATCAGGAGAGTTTGATCTTAACTGAGCAGGAAAATAAACAGGATTTGAGAAATCACAGCGTGAAAGTAACTGGACATTATCATAAACAGTTTGAGTAAGTTCTGAGGGGTTTGTGGGTAACTGGACATTATCATAAACAGTCTGAGAAGGTTCTGAGATGTTTGTAGGAAAATCAGCAGTAGAGTAGACTGTGGAAACTCCAGCATCAGACAGTTTCTGGTGTCTTTGATCTGGTCATAGTCTAGTCAGCAGTGGGAACCTGAGAATAGAAATTAAACATACACATTGTTAAAACTCCACTAGTGTTACGGGATGGCAGGGAGGCGGACCCAGTGCAGAGAAGAAAACCTGTGAGGAAAGGGTCTTAAATGAATTTAATGAGGTGATGGAGTGTGAACATGATGATTGTGCACGTTGCGGTTCAGGTTCAGAGCCGATGTACTGATTGGTGGTCTGAGGAGTTATCGCTGCATCACTGGGAAGCACAGGCGAAAATGGCAAAAACACCTCAATGAATGGGAAATAATACGCAGGAGAAAAGGCAAACAAAGGGGACGCTGAAAGCAGCATGCTAAACAAAGGCTGAGGTAGAAAAAGTGAAATAAAAAAAAAAGTCAGAAAACAAAAGACACTTCCTCTGTGATTTTGAGAGGAAGGTCAGCCTTATGTTTTGCCTGTTTGCTCTTTGTGGAGCAAACACTTTTGTATGGCTTGGAGTCGTTCCTTGTTTAAGCCTTCTTTTTGGGCTAGTTTTGGGGCAAATTCTGTCTTTTGTTTTTTCCAGCCTTCTTTCCTTTTTCCTTTCCTTTTCATTTAAATACCCACCTGGGCTAAGCACCGTATCAGTCACCCCTCTACAAAAGTGCGACAAAGTGCTGCTGTTTGCCACGGCCTTAAGTAGAGGAGTCCACAGGTGTGCCAGGTTGGGCCTCATCAGCCCAAGGGCTTCTGGGATTTGGAGTTCCCTGTGCTTTTGCCCTCTGCTGGCGGCCGGCGGCAAAGGCTGGGCCTTTACAACTAGCTCCCAGTGTGGACCTTCTAGTGGCTAGTTTAAGATCTACTGCTTTACAATGTGGTTCCTTAAATAAGACAAGTCTCTATTAACTAAACAATAAGTTATCAACTTTCACTAGCTTTTCAGTAATTACGCTCACCTTAATTAACCACTATTTTTATTCAATTAAAACAATTTAGTAACCAGTCTTGAACCACAGGGGTAACTACATGTCTAATTGTCTAACTGTCTAAACATCTAAGCCCCTGCACTGTCTTTTAAAAGGTTTATCTCCTCTTGGATGGTTTATTACGATTATATACACTGTTAGAAATAAAGGTACATTTTTTTATTCATCAATGTACAAACAATGTAAATGTACCATCAAAAGTACAACAGTGGTTTTAAGGGTCCAATTGTGAACCTTAAATAAGTTTTTCTTAGTGGAAAAGTACATATCTGTATCTTTTCATAACCTAATGTTTACAAACAGAACAATAAAATAAAAGTCTGGGGATGGGACGGGGTGTGTGGAGTCGATATTATCGTACAATTATGTTCCCTGACTAAAGGTACCGAGGTGTACTATTCAGGGTCCCACCCCAGTGACAAGAGGGGAACTGCCCCAGTGACAGTTTCATACTTTTTTTTCTGAGAGTGTAGGGAGACGTTTGTATCAAATAGTACCCATAGCTCAGAGTCCTCATTTTTCCTTTGAAAATTCTCAGTACATCTGAAAACTGTGTGATGCTGTATAACAGCTTAGTTTTGTAACTCTTGGTTAGGCTTGAATCTGTCATGGTGCAATGTGCTAAAAATATGCTAATGAGGGGGTTGCGGTATGGTGACAGGAAACTTGTTTTCTGCTAAGGTACCTTACTTATTTGAAGTGTTTGTTAGCTTAAACAAAATTAAGATGTGTCAAATTTGTATTCCACAGCTATATAAAAAACATATATCTGGGAATCTGTTATTATGGGAGGAGCCTGTAGCTTAGCTAGTCTTATTCCACTACTTTGTTAGCACCAAAGCTTACATTGGCTTAGTGAGAAGACTACAACTGATTTGCAACTATAACATGGGTTTGATATCCAGTTTAGAGGATAAAATCTGAGTGAGTGAAGTCGAGTAATCAGCCCACTGTGCTACAACTGTTGTTCAGTTTATGAACTGAATTTAGTGGAAGATGAATTGAAAGTCTTGATGGTGGACGATGAACTGAGAAGTCTTTTTGTTTCTGTTGTGCTCTGTCTCATTTGGAGGGCTGTTTCCCCATTTACCAAATACTGTAACCACTTCATGCCTGCTGGTGAAGGGAACGGTGGGATTTGGAAACCAGGAGGCAAAGGGAGCAAATAAAAATTTTATTCATGCATATTGATGAATTGTTGCACTCTTAATGAGGGTTAAGGTTTAGGGTGGCTCTTAGGCAATTTTTGGCAGCTTCCCACACATAAAAGTAATACATATATAATCATTTACTATTCAACAGAGTTTATAGACAGTACAGGTTTTTATTTTGGGTTAAGGTTAGTACTGATAAAGCACTTGTATCAATAATTTGCAACCTCTAACTTCTATTTTTCATGTAATTACTACTTGTAAAGAATAATCTGATGCATTGATATTAGTAAATAAGTATAGATAGGTAAGTACAAGTAAGTAAGTATAGGTAAGTAAGTATAAGTTTTAATTAAAGAAACATAAGCAGACCACAGTGGTTCAGAATCGGTTAGTAACTAGTATTAGAATAAGTTAAAAAATTCTTAAGCATTGATTAAAGAACCATACTGTACTAATACTAGTACTACTACTACTAATAATAGTACTACTATTACTTTTACTACTAAAAATATTACTACTACTACTACTAATAATAATAATAATAATAATAATAATAATAATAAGTGAATTTTGTTTGAAGTGAATAAAACATCATGTCTGGTACAAAATATGAAAATAATGCTTTTTCGCTATGTCTTGTGCAATGGAGGTAGGTCAATATTTCACTTTGTTGATTCATTATTAAGTATTTTATTTGGACCTGTTCTAATGAGAACCTGCTCTAAAATACAATCTTGCCTCACCTTGTGGTTGTTTGAGAAATCTCTGAGGGGCTGGCCTTGGGTTGAGACGGAAACTGAGGAGATAGAATTCCATAACATTAAATCAGTGATAAATTAAGAAATAAAAATGTATTTTTCATTATTAAATAATATATGGAATTACTTGATAATTAAAGATAAACAAGAAGTGTGACTGATACAACAAAGTGTTTACAGTCTGTTATAACTCCAGCTCTCCGGATTCATGTGTTTTTATAGCCAGCAGAGGGCAGCACCTGTCCATCCCTGTTAGCCTACTGAGGCCTAGTGAACTTTTTCATCTCGCTTCTGAATGTGTACGCTCACTTACCTGCAGTTTAAATCAGCTGAACATTTTGGCACAGGGAAATGTCTTAGAAAACCAATAATATGACCACTGACTGTAGGGAGTTTCATAAGTCAGTTCAGCATCATAGTACTGGAACTGTCTTTGCTGAGCATTGAATAATGCTGCAAATGGTTTGATGAATTTAGTATACTGAATTAATGTCAGCGTGTAATTGAATGACTATGCATGTGAGCTTAAGGTCTGTTCATACTAATCACAAACGAGTGTCACAATGTAGTATTTTGAAATTATATCCCAGTATCAGATAATGAAGTCAATGAACCCATGATACCTGAGTGCTGCTACTCTAAACTAAAAACCGGACATCACTTGTTTTGTTCTGTTTCCTTATCTTAAAGGGCCCATGTCATGAAAAACTAAATAAAAGAGTTTCATGTAGTATGTGAATACTGTTAAAGTATGACACAGTACCAGCAAAACATACCTGTAATGCATCACAATGAAAATTTATGGCCAACCCAAAATTAGAGACATATTCAGGAATAAATAAATAAATAAATAAATAAACAGACAAAAAGCAAGAAATAAAGTAAACATGCTAAAAGCACATAGGCTACAGTATGTGCCACAAAATCCAGTGCCATCCAAATGATGAATAATGAATGAATTCTATTATTTTTAGTTATACTTTGCATGTTGGCTCTTGTTTATGAACTTTTTAATCGTAAGTCATTTTATTAACTGAATGTACAGTTGGCATCATCATGCTCACAGGGACTTTCTGTTTCCGTTGTTTTGTGATCAGTGAACTGATATGTTTTATTTTGCTGTATTCTTGTAGTCTGCATATCGAGTGGGATGTTGTGTTTTAAGTGGTACTAAACATGTAGGTGGGTTCTTGAGTGTTGTATCTGCTCTTGACCCTCAGTATGAAGAGAGATTAGAATCTGCTTTACAAAAGTTCCTTTACAAACTGTGAAATAGTTTTATATAGTTCACTTTTGATCTGCTGCTGCTCAAGCTGTTTGAATGTGTCTGCTCTCACTGGTGGAGGAGGGTGAAAGTGGCCTTCTTAATCAATATCTTTCACTTTAATTACCTTTAAAATCATTAGTAAAGTGTTAGATTTTGACATTTCAGTGTGGGCCAAATTAATCTTTCTTATTTTTGGTCATTTTTTTCCCCTTGTCCTTTTTGTTGGACTGAAAATTTTCAGTAGTAGAAATTTTTAGTGCATTCCACACAGAAATATAGCTTGATTTTAAGACAAATATTGTGTGTGGAACTGTCTTTAGAAAGATTGTATCATGGTATTATAGCTTTGGTATTTGTGGTAGCCTGTGTATGTGGGTGGTTGTGCCTTGCCTTGAGTCTTGCCTCTCTTTCTAAGAATGACTATGAAGAATAAGAGTCCAATCAGAAGCAGCACCAGAATCACAGACACAACAGCAATCACAGAGGAAGATGGAAACCCTGGTAATGGAGAAACAGAATCATAATTAGAATGTAGAATTTGAGGGTGTAGTTAGTTTTGAGGTCAGTGAACTGGTGTGTTGATAACTGTGGTAGAACATCTGGAATTAAAGTAAATAAATGATGTTTCAAATAAACACTACCCTGTGTACATGATATTATTACTGATTGAAGTGAACCAGGAGATGTAACATGAATGTATGTTGTACCTTTTGATGCATTTGTCTCTAATGAGGAGTTTCCAGAGGGTTTAGATGAAGGTGTGTTTGATTTTGAGCTCTCTGGAATCCTACTTGATGGTGATGAAGATGATATCGTTTCTTTTCCTAGTAATGGAGATAAAGATGTTTAAAGCTTACACATTTAGACTTTTTTTGTAGTGTTGCACTGATATTGTATTAGTTTGGCCCAATTACTGGCTTTTAAAAACAGTATTCAGCAATAGAGACCACTGACACCACAAAGTAGTTTTTCACCACACTAAATGGAGTTTAACTGAAGCAAGCAGCTTGTTGCCAGTTGGGATTATTTTATGCTTGTGACAAGCAGGGGCAAAAATTCTCAGTTTTCAGTTTTAACTTCAGCCATTTAAAAAGCCAAACTCATTATTTTTAGTGAACGAATATGTTGTAAGTGTAGAGGAAAATATAATGTATATATACATGAATACATCAACAACTACATGAACTGTCATTCATACACATTTGTACATTTTCAAATTCTGATAAACTAATGATTTGTTCATAGCTATTGATGGTGAGTGGGTGGTTTAATAAAGAAATGTGTTATAAAGTGTCATCCAAAAATGGGTATATTTTTGTAGCGTTGTACTGATACCACAACAGTATTGCCTTGTTACTGCCACTTAAATACAGTGTAGAGAATACTGATACTATGAAGCAGTTTCTGACCAGTAGATGGAGCTGAAATGAAGTGAGCAGGAACACATCAGTGGTGTGAGATTATTTCACGCTTGAGACAAGCAGTAGTAAAAATACTCATCATAAAATCTGTAAAGCCAGTATTTCAAGGAGTGACATCACCAGCAAAGATTTCAATACATCAAATTTCACAGATCAATTCATATCAAAGAGGACAAACAAGTTTCATATCTCTGAAACCATTCAAATTCAAAGTTATCCAATCAGTACATGCTATCAGTTCAAGCTTAATATGTTTATCTGTGACACAGGACACTGTTTTAGCAAAATAGTAAGTAAGTAAGTTTATTTATATAGCACTTTTTACAACAGGTGTTGTCACAAAGCAGCTTTACAAGGAAATTACAAGGAAATACAATATTTAAGCAGTGGAATGGTGTACATATCAGACTTCACAGGCAGCTGGATCAGAATCGGGAGATGCTTTAGGATCAAGTATCATTATAGGAAGGGTAAAAGTTGTAAAAGTGGTCAGTGCACCCCATATTTTTGTGTCTGTGTCAGAATGCATACTATTATAAACACTTCAACACAATATGGTTCATGTGTTTTTCTTCCACAGTTGAAAGCATTTTTGATTTACAGACATTTGAAAGTACCAGGTGTGTTTGCAAACACTGAACCAAGCAGATGAAAATGACTGGAATTTCCAGTTTTGCCTAAAAATGCTTAATACTTCCCCACAACTTTCCTCACTTCCTTAATTTAGAACTATTAATATTTCTTGAGTCACATGGATCAGAGTATTTGTGCTTATGTGAATCATTTTCACTCTAGTGGTTACACTACTAAAAAAAATCTAGACTATTTCTGTTCAGCCTTAAATAAGACCACAGATAAAGGGGTTTGAATACCAGCTGCACCATTTCAATCACACATCTTAACAATCTTCTGAGCTGCTAAAGTTACAGCCATGTGATTTGGTCCTCTTTAAAATATATAATGGACATTGGCTGGACTTCAGACTCTCTGTAAATCACTGAAAGGATCTTAAATTATAAAGTTCTGCATATAATACTTCAATATGAGATCTACTCACCAGTAACTCTGAGGTTGATCTGTGTGATATAAATCTTGTACCCATGGTCAGATGTCCAGTCTGATTCAGCTCCACACCAGTATTCACCAGAGTCTCCCTCAGTCAGATTGTTCATGATCACAGTGAAGATCTGCTTTCCATCATCATGTAGATACAGATTTCCCTCATTTATCCATCTTCTGCTCTCTTTAACGGATGTTTTATATTTACAGCCAGCAGTGTCCACTCTCCTACAGAGAAACTTGGGGTCACTGCTGTGGGATTGTGGGTATTTGCAGCTGATGTTTACACTTCCTCCTACATGGCCAATCACACTGATGTTCTTCTCGTAGTTTTGATCTGTCAATCATAAACAATCAGATGAAAATATATACATTACCTATTAATACAATAGAGTCCTGTCAAATCATGTAATCCCATAACTTATTAAACTCATGGAGCAGTGAAATGATTCAGAATCTTTTTTTGTAAATCTATTTCTCTTTAATAAAAAATGCCACTAATTTACTCTGACTGAAATGTTTGAGTTTGTATTCATCCACAAATTGACTCTTCATTATGATTCCTTTCCCTGCATGTTCAGTCATTTCTCTAAAGGCCACAACCCATCGCTAGAAGCATGTTCAAATGAGCCTTATGAAGAAGAACAGATAGTGTTCATGTGTATAGATGTGCATTACAGGCTCACATAACTGTAGTCCATATTGTAATTTTTCACAAAGAGGCTAAACATGTCAGTACATAGACATTCAGTTCTGGAGACTACATAAAACAAAGAACTGAGGACTGAGAGAAGTGAGGAAACTGCTAAGTCAAGATCTCTCTATTTCCTAACCAGCAGTTGTACTATTGTTACAAAAATTTGAACACCCCGGTCAAATGATGTTTGTGTTGATTTAAGTGTAAATGAGTTAACACATCCTCTACAGGGAACAAACTAAAATATGATAAAATATATATATATATATATATATATATATATATATATATATATACATATATTATGGCAAGCCAAACAGGAAATATTTAATGAACATTGATATATATGGAATGAACGTTGATATATATACAATAAACATTGATATATATGGAATGAACTTTGATATATATACAATGAACTTTGATATATATGGAATGAACATTGATATATATGGAATGAACTTTGATATATATATAATGAACATTGATATATATGGAATGAACTTTGATATATATACAATGAACTTTGATATATATACAATGAACATTGATATTTATGGAATGAACTTTGATATATATATATACAATGAACATTGATATATATACAATGAACTTTGATATATATGTAATGAACTTTGATATATATACAATGAACATTGATATATATGGAATGAAAGTCACTGTTGAAGGGTTGAGGATGGCCAAGAAAAACTGTACATCAATAAATGGGCATTAACAAACTCCAGGTGGAGCTTAAAGGAAGGGAATTCTGATAAAGTGACCAGTATCTATACACATTGATCCTGTGGACAGAGTGACCTGAGAGTGGCTGATATATGATGTGAAGACACAGATGGGTGGAGTTTCAATATATACATAATTTGACATGGTGCAGAAGAAGAGTCAGATGAGGCCATAACTTCTGTTTGAAAAATGCTCTTTTATTGAGAGCAAGGGAAACAATGGCACTTGAAAAGCAACTGAAAATTGAGGAAGGTCACTCCTAGCCCTGCTCTTTCTTCTGAGGGTCACCAAACACAAACACACTCTCCCTAACTCTGAGCTGGACACAAAATAACAGAGTAAACACATACGCACACTCTAACTGAGGAGCAACAACATAGCAACATTAAATAACAATGTAAACAGTCTGTTTGGGGGGGTGGGGGTGTGGGGGGGAGGTGCAAGGCTACAACACACACAACCCCAAAAGTCCCTCTCTGTCCAAACAAAACATTTTATGAATTCTATTTTTTTTTTTATATGTTCTTTTTATATTTCATCTCAATGTTCGATCCATATACATCAAGGTTCATTCAATATATATAAATTTTCATTCAATATATATCAAATTTCATTCAATATATATCAAAATTCATTCCATATATATCAATGTTCATTCCATATATATCAATGTTCATTCAATATATATCAATGTTCATTCCATATATATCAATGTTCATTCCATATATATCTCAGTAGAACAAAGATTGATATATATGGAACGAACATTGATATATATGGAATGAACGTTGATATATATACAATGAACTTTGATATATATGGAATGAACATTGATATATATGGAATGAACTTTGATATATATGGAATGAACTTTGATATATATACAATGAACTTTGATATATATGGAATGAACTTTGATATATATACAATGAACATTGATATATATGGAATGAACATTGATATATATGGAATGAACTTTGATATATATACAATGAACTTTGATATATATGGAATGAATTTTGATATATATGGAATGAAATTTGATATATATGTAATGAACTTTGATATATATACAATGAACATTGATATATATGGAATGAACATTGATATATATTGAATGAAAATGTATATATATTGAACATTGATGTACATGGATCGAACATTGAGATGAAAAAATGAATAATATAATTCATAAAATGTTTTGTTTGGACAGAGAGGGACTTTTGGGGTTGTGTGTGTTGTAGCCTTGCACTCCCCCCCCCACCCAAACAGACTGTTTACATTGTTATTTAATGTTGCTATGTTGTTGCTCCTCAGTTAGAGTGTGCGTATGTGTTTACTCTGTTATTTTGTGTCCAGCTCAGAGTTAGGGAGAGTGTGTTTGTGTTTGGTGACCCTCAGAAGAAAGAGCAGGGCTAGGAGTGACCTTCCTCAGTTTTCAGTTGCTTTTCAAGTGGCACTGTTTTCCCTTGCTCTCAATAAAAGAGCATTTTTCAAACAGAAGTTATGGCCTCATCTGACTCTTCTTCTGCACCATGTCAAATTATGTATATATTGAAACTCCATCCATCTGTGTCTTCACATCATATATCAGCCACTCTCAGGTCACTCTGTCCACAGGATCAATGTGTATAGATACCGGTCACTTTATCAGAATTCCCTTCCTTTAAGCTCCACCTGGAGTTTGTTAATGCCCATTTATTGATGTACAGTTTTTCTTGGCCATTCTCAACCTTTCAACAGCGACTTTCATTCAATATATATCAATGTTCATTCCATATATATCAAAGTTCATTCCATATATATCAAAGTTCATTGTATATATATCAATGTTCATTATATATATATATATATATATATATATATATATATATATATATACATATATATATCAATGTTCATTCCATATATATCAATGTTCATTGTATGTATATCAAAGTTCATTCCATATATATCAATGTTCATTGTATATATATCAATGTTCATTCCATATATATCAATGTTCATTAAATATTCCTGTTTGGCTTCCCATTATATATATATATATATATATATATATATATATTATATATATATATATATATTTGCAATTTTTAGTGCACAATTTCTGTTTATTTGCTGAGTTCAACAAAAAATACAGTTCAAATTCAGCTAAATGTGCAGAAGTGTGTTGTGTGTAGAGGATGTGTTCACTTATTTTCACTTATGCTTATGCATATGACTGTATGCACATGACTTCTTAACCACACAATCTTGGTCAAATATGAGAAATAATACAAATGCATTTACATTGCAGAAGTCAGACAAGCAGGACTGGAGCGGAATCTCTGAAGAGAGAGACCCCATCATAACACTGATATAATGAGTAGACATGTTCTTAATAGAGCTACATAGACAAGCACTTTGACAACACAGTTCCTGATGTTTGATCTTTATGACAGTTTGTACATTCACCCTCACTGTAACTGATGTTAATGATGCTGGAGGTTTAGGATAATAAACAGGTGCAGTGGTGGGAAAGACTCACCTTCCTTTACATTCAGTTCCACTGGTGTGTTGACATCAAAGTTCAAACTTTTATCAACTCCACACTGGTACAGTCCAGAATCCTCTACAGTGAGCTCTCTGATCAACACCCAGAACTCTGCAGTGCTGGTGTTATGAAACAGTGAGAATCTTCCTGTATTTATCCACTTATTTTTATCTCCTGTCTTGATCTGGTCAGCACAGTTTGACCACGAACCCTTACAGAAATATTTTGAGTTTGATGTGTATGTTGTCTTATATGTGCACTTGATGAGGACTCCTCCTCCTGAATATCCTCTCACTGTCTCTGATTCTCCTCCACCTACTAAAAGAGGACAAATCTAAAGTAAAGTAAAGGCTTCATTTGACTCTGCTGATAGTGATGATTATTTAGAAGAGCATCTCCTTACCTGAAATCAAGAAGAGGGTGAAGATGAGGAGGATCTTCATTCTGAGTCTTTCAGATCCACACCAACTCAGATATCAGAGCTTGTGAAACTTACAGCCTGTCTCTGTTTGACTGTTTCTACAACTGCATCTTAAATAGAAACTGAGGTCATGCTCACTTCCCCTTCTTCTGTTGAGAAAGAGAGAGCTGAGAACCTCTCTGCATGTGGATGTGTGAAACGTGTATGAGCAAAGTCACAACTGAAACACTTTCAAGTGTATTCAAAGAAACTCATTGCAGTAAATGTAAATTAATGGAGGTGTTGAGTTGTGTTGATGCACTTTTGTGTTTCTTTTGTCAGGTTTTGGCCTGGTGCAGAATCTCCATCAGTATTTAACCTCTTAAATGGCCAGGGCCCACCGGCAGGCCCAAAGCTATATTACACACTTCCTGTAACCTAAGAATAGCTTAGCCATTTTGCACTGAACTCCCTGTAGTTGCTAAATAATAAGCAGGCCCACTTTACATTGTGTCTCCAATAACTGTGTAGTTACACATGAATAACATATACAACAACAATGTAACTACTGATGATTTACTCAATGTTACAAGTGGATTACAGAAGTACAGCCTGTGTAATTAAACATGTATAAACTTCAGTTGTGCCCCATGTAATTACACAAGTTTATCTTTTTGATACACTACAGATCAGAAGTCTTTTCCAGCAGTAAAAGGAAGTATGTTTTACATAACATTACATTTATGTTTTGCATGATTACTGTGGAATAACTGTGTTATAACAATGTAATCTAATCACATCACATTGATTAATACAATTCTGTACTTACACTGTACCCATATAACAACTACACAGGAACTTTCCTGTAGTGTAGCGTTATAGTTACACTTTAAAATAAGTGGACAGTTCCTGTGTAGTTGTTATGTAGGTACTGTGTAATAATCCAGTGGTAATGTAGACATTACTTTGGGGGAAATGCAACACATTTAATTAATGTTATAAAAATTGCATGTTAATATAAGGGGACGTCTGCTGTTCTGTCACATTACAGTCTGGTTTAAAGCTAAAACTGGTTACAGTGTCACAGCACTAGCAACATAAATGCTAGCTAAAAGTTAGGAAGGCTAGCAGATACAGTGTGAGTAACATCTTAATGTAAGTTATTACAAACTTCCTTTTACTGTTGGAAAAGACTTCCGAAAACAACTGCTGTTTCAGTCTGATTAAAAATGTAATTACATTTACGTTATTACCCTTGTGTAATTACATTAGAGAAAATAGGCTGTTACAAATATTAACATACACATGTGTAATTACATAAGGTGTCCTTCTGTAATCCATCTGTAACAGTAACTAAATCATTAGTAGTTATGTTGTTGTTGCATATGTTGTTCACATGTAACTACACAGTTATTAGAGACAAGTGGGACCCACACCTTTATAACCTAAGAATAGCTCAGCCTGTTTGCACTGAAATGCCTTGTAGTTACTGAATAAAAAGCCTTAATATGTACTGAGCCTGGGATTTTAAGGGGTTAACATTACTAAAGTGTATTAGTGCCACTCTGAGTTACATTTTGCAAGCAGTCTATCAGTGAATGGATGCATATTTGCATGTTCATGTCAACGATTCTCTACTGTGTCAGAAGGCCTCTACTGCCATCTAGCGCACAGTGTGAGTAACTGAGGAACAAAGTTGCAGTATGACTGAACACTGCTCTTAGAGAAATCTGCATCTTATTTTATTTCTTTAAAGATGTTGTTTTCCATTTATGACACTTTATGTATCATCATAATGTGTTAGAATCTCTATTTTACGATATTTCTAACATGAGACTCTGGTAGACGGAATCTGATTGGTTAGTGGTAGTGTTCAGACTCTGGTAGACTGAATCTAATTGGTTAGTGGTGGTGTCTAGACTCTGGTAGACTGAATCTGATTAGTTAGTGGTGGGTTTAGACTCTGGTAGACTGAATCTGATGGGTAAGTTGAGGTGTCCAGACTATGGTAGACTGAATCTGATTGGTCAGGACCTTTGCATCAGTGGTCACCAACCCTGGTCCTGGCAATCTACCTCCCTGCAGAATTTAGTTCCAACCACAACCTGCCTCACCTGCTCCAGATAATTAACTTCTTCAGAGGGTCTTGATAGGTTGGATCTGGTGGAGGCAGCATTTTAGATGAAGGTTGGAACTAAACTCTGAAGGAAAGTAGTTATCTAGGAGGAGAGTTGGTGACCACTACTTTACATTATGTACAGCGAGGGTGTCCAGTGTTATCTGCAAAGGCAGATGTGTCTGTAGGTTTTCATTCTAAAAAGCAGGAGCACACTAGATCAATTGTTTGAAGGGACTAATTGATTGAACATGTGAAACTCCTGAATGATTGGAACAAAAACCTGCAGCCACATTGGACTAAACTGGACAATAAACATAAGGATATTTTTTTCACACTTGCGCATCATATTTGGTTCATAAGACCCATCCATTTAAATGTTCTTTAGGGAACCAAAAGTGGTTCTTCTTTGACATTGGGCAAAAGGAACATTGGTGGCAATGTTATTTTAAATAGCATACTGCCATCTAGAGGATAAATTAAGTCATATCTAATTGCAATCACACAAGTTTTTTTTAATCATTTTATTATTTGTTATTTGTGAAAAAGTGCACAACCAAATAACCAAATTATATAATACAAATGCGATATTCTCAGTAAATTTATTTGTCTTTTTATTTAATACATTAAATGATCAAACATATGGAATAATTTTCATATTGAATGAATGGACTTGATTTAATAGACACATATATAGCCTTAATAAATCATGGTGCACTGCAGCCATATTTTGGCACACAATGTGAAATAAACTTTAAAAGCAAAGAAAAATACCTTGCAGGTTGTTAAAAGTATATATGTATTTTAGTACAGTAATATCAGAAAATATGACAACTTTTCAAACATGCTTAAAGAGAATTAATACAAAAGCTAAAAGCATTAAAACAGTTGTTGAATGAAAAACACTGACACCATTTGTTCTACACCACATTTATATTCTAGATATATTTTTTCATAAGATTTCCAAACTGCATCCTGATATTTAACCTTTAGTTCTTCAGAGACTGTGACAGACTGAGTTCAGTTAAACTATAGTGAGGTTCAAACTCAAGTTGGTAGACTGAATCTGATTGGCTAATGGTAGGATTCAGACATTAGGTAGTTGTGGTGTTCAGACTCTGGTAGACTGAATCTGACTGGGTAGTAGTAGAGTCTGGTCGACTGAATCTGATTGGTTAGTGGTGCTGTTCAGACTCTGGTAGTTGGTTAATAGGTTAATGGAGGAGTCTGGTAGACTGCATCTGATTGGCTGCTAAAAGAATTTGGACTCTGGTAGAATGCATTAGAGTACAACCCACCAGCACAGTGAATCTCACAGGTTAGAAGTAAACTGAATCTGACTGAATCTGACTGGTTAGTGGTGGGTTCAGACTCTGGTTGACTGAATCGGACTGGTTAGTGGTGGGTTCAGACTCTGGTAGACTGAATCTGATTGATTAGTGGTGGTGTCCAGACTCTGGTAGACTGAATCTGATTGATTAGTGGTGGTGTCCAGACTCTGGTAGATAGAATCTGATTGGTTAGTGGTGGTGTCCAGACTTTGGTAAAGTAAATCTGGTTGGTTAGCAGTGGTGTCCAAACTGTGGAACACCTGTCCGGAATATCGTGTCTCTGTTTCTCGACCTATTGGGAAATGAATAGGGCAGCTGAGATTATATAATTGTAACATTTTTTGTGAGTTAGTAACAACACAATTTTTCACTTTTCCAGTGTTTCTGCACCAGGAATATTTCAGCACAGTCTTGTATTGTGAAACATGTTTTACCTTTGGGTTTTATTTTGTAGTAGAATGTTGTAACCAGACTAATGGTTAACAACACAATACCAACACTGACAGAGGAGTACACCACAGGACCTGCAACACACACACAAACTAATATTAATCCATATTTTGTATTATTTTTTATTATTTTGGTGTAAGATGTGCAGTGTAGTTGGTCAGAGGGAAGCATACCTGTTGAGTTACTCTGTACAAGTTGTACTGCAGATGATTCAAGTTGAACTGGCCATATTGAGGTTTGTTCAAGGAAGACTTGTGGATATTTATGGAAGACAATACATTTGTTTCATAAAGAAATTAAAAGCAATTTTCAGTGTTAATGTGTCAATAACTAAAAGTTTGCACACACTTCAAACCAGATATGTCCACTACACTCTTCATGCCATAAGCAAAGTTTGAAATAGATTGTGAAAATGGACACTGTATTTAGATGAAGAGGCTCACCAGGTGATGGAGTGAGGGCAGCTGGCTCACCGATTGATGTCCAATTTCTTGGTGCTGGTGATTCTAAAACTATTTCCAGTTTGAAAAAATTAATCTCAGAAAAAATACTCTGAACTTTTGATAGCTTGTCTCGCTGTACAAACACGTCGGACGACAGGACATATTGGACATGAACTTCAAAAAGCAATATTTAGCCATGTATTTATTATGTATGATGTGTGTTATGTTGTAATCTAAGTTAATTTAAAATGATAATGCTGTTATTGTCTCTATTCTGTCAACATATTCAAAAGAAAAGGTCTGAAAGTTCAGCACAGTATACACTCACCAGTAACTGTGAGGTTGATCCGTGTAATATAAACCTTATATCCATGATCAGATGTCCAGTCTGATTCAGCTCCACACCAGTATTCACCAGAGTCTCCCTCAGTCAGACTGTTGATGATCACAGTGAAGACTTTCTTCACTTTGTCATCACGCAGAGAGAACTTTCCCTGCTTTATCCATCTTCTGTTTACTTTAACAGATGTTTTATAATTACAGTCAGCAGTGCTCCCACTCCTGCAGAAAAATTTGCGATAAATTCTGTGGTATTGTTGGTATTTGCAGTTGATGTTCACACTTCCTCCTTCATGGCCAATCACACTGATGCTCTTCTTGTAATCTTGATCTGTCAATCAAAAATTGCATTACCTCCTACAGGAAAATGATATAATTCTGTCATGTCAGATCAATGAACATAGTAATTAATTTGGAATGCAAAATTCTGACATATTGTTC